CCATCAATAACTCACCATCACATCGGCAGTTGATTTCTCATCCGATTCCGGAAGCTCCCTCGCAATCTCCCAAGTATCCAAACTTGAAGCTATTTGCGCGGCTATCAAGATCGTCCATTTACAAAAGTTCAATGTATCGGTGATTGTGGATTTGTCCCTTCTACGTCTCCGCAAGACCCGAGCTTCCGGTGCATTAGGAAGGTGAGTCGCTAGTCGGCGGATCCAACTAACACTGACCATCACGACGGCAAGTTTGATGTGTCGGTCCGAGATACGGAATAAATTGTTACTGGTTGAATATTTTACACGGCCACTGCTATCACGACTTCACTCCTGGTGTTTTCAGCTATGGAGTTGTGATTACAAGGTAACTGCCGGACCTCGTGGGACAGCGATAGGCTTTGGAGAGATGATGGATCCTGGCTATCGTGTAACATGACTCGAGTACGAAATTGGCAGGTCAGCTGTGAATAATGGATATAGCTTCAGATAACAGTCAGGAAATGTCGGGCAATGCGTTAGCGTGGAAAAGTTGGATCATCCGTCTTCGGGGTCGCCCTTGATATTTATTTAGCCGTGATAATGAAGATAAAAGCACTCTCGCTCCCATTGATGAAGACCAGATCATCCAGTATCACATTCTCGCCTCCAGCCTTCTGTATCTCTCACACAGAGTCCCAGCCCAAATCCTCATTATCTCTCTCTATCATCACAAGTCACAATGCAGTTTCTCAGCATCACCTGTCTCATCGCTCTCGCAACTCTGTACGACTCCCTAAAATCCACGCTACACCTCAGTTCTAACATCTCAACAGTGCGTCCGCAAAGCTTCACAGCCAAGCTGTCTGCGTCACCAACCGCCACTACGACCCGATCGGAGGAACGCCGTGGAGCCCCAGCTACAACTGGAAGGTGAACTATGAGATTCTTCCTGGCGCTACTAAGTGTGCCTGCGACTACTACAAAAGCCGTAATACTGGCAACAAACAGTGGGACAAGTGCCCTGACTGTCGCTTTGTGGGTCACCCGAGATGCAATGTCCTGATTGAATAAGGTGCTAACACTGGGTAGGATGGTCTTGTCTGCGGGTCTAACGGCTGGCATATTGGCGGTGACGAGGTGAGTAGCGTAGCATATAATCCACCGTTCTTGTCACTGGGGCTCATTTGGACTCTTGGCTGACGATGAATCTCAGTTTACCTACTACTGTGAGAAGAAGTGTGGAGCGCAGGGAGCAGAGGCGAACTAGTATGGAACAGCCTTGTTGTCAGTTCCACCAAAAGGACCCTGAAGGATAGCGCAGCATTTGAGTACAAGTTGAGATAGGTCAATACCAGACAGGAAATTCGTATTCAACGTCGGAAACCGGCATTCGTGATAGCTCGGCATTTACCGTTCACCCTGGGCCAGGGCTAAATGCAAGGGTCCCGCTGTTTGACAGATGAGAAATGACTCGCACTGATCATCAAACGTGCTAGGGACCGAGATAGGGAACGGCTCGCAATGCATTAGTGCAGTCATCGGTAATATTTCCACGAATCGCCCTTGAAGAATCGTGGTTTAAACTTTGCAGGGCATCGATACGTGTATTAATGATGATCAGCGGTGATTGGTTCATCGTGGCATCGAGATGAACAGACTTCCAGATTCGAAGTTTCGTGCATTTCGCACAAACCTTGTTAGTTAAATGCCAACAAGCTTATCAAACTCAGGCATCTTTGGCGGGACCTGGTCCCTGTCTGCAATGGCTTGGGGCGTAGCGGTTGACGGCCCACGTGCTCGACAAGCCACCCTCGGGGGGAATTACACGGCCCTTGATGGGCTTGGCTTACACGAAAGTTCGCTGGCCATCCACCGATTTGGGGTCCGTGTTTTATTTTCCCCCTCTTAGGTCACCAGCTGAATCCTGACATTAGGCATTTGGTTGTTGACCCACCAGAGCCTTGATGGCCATGGCAGTGGATAAATGGATACCCAGCGTTGGTTACTTTTATCCCGTTCTGCATTGAGCTGCGGCAATAGATGACCCGAAGACCCTATGATATCTCAATTGCCGAAATGAGCATGTGTCGATCAATCTGGTACCCTTGGGGTTGCAATCGGCTACCATACTGTCAGCGCTTTAAGCACTGTGTTCGAGGATATCAACTCAACTTACTCTTAATGTACCCGTGTCGGAGAGTTTTGTCCATTTACTCTTAATACATAAATTGAACAGCTTGTTTAGAGTCTACTGCATAGTGTTTTGCGCTCTTTGAATCAGGAATCGGAGATTGTCCTTGTCTCAAGGGATCAATGAGACAACGGACGAAAGAGAAAGTTAAACTTCTCATCAAAGTCGGGTCTGATAGTGATCACCGGAAGTCAAATCGTCAATTATGTCATTGCTTAACCGATACTTAAAGCTTATGACATCTCAACGAGACGTATCAAGTCAACACACTGGAAAATCCAAATTAACTCCAGCTGTTGAAAGGCAATATTTTGTACGCAGCCTTGGTTAATTGCGCAAACTCCAAACTTGTCGATCTCGCAAAGGCGGCAAAGATAGACTTCAATAGAAATCAGCAAACTAAGATCTATACTTTCATATCTCGATCTCGTTCGGCGGGCACCAACCGGCTGCCTCTCTTCGCCACGACCAGTCATCAACACGAGCGTGCGCCCATGACGAAAATACTTTTTGCGCGAATAAAGAAACCAAACTCATGATTGATTTAATTCTTTAAACCACACTATACCTAAATGTAAGTGCATTAATTCCTCCATAAATTAGCTGAGCTTTCCTCATCCTCCCAAACTCTCCCCAAAAATTCTTCAACAGCTTCTCGTTGCAGAATGTCTTCTCAGGCGAGCTCAAGCAAGGAGGTAGTGGCACCCAACCCACAGCCGCCTCCGAAACCCCCAGAGGAACTGCCAAAGGAACTTCAAGGCGGGAAGTTCATTTTCTTCACACTCGACACCCTCTTCAACCGCGACTATGCTATTGAGTGCGCTCTGAAGAGATGCAGGGATCTTAACAAAGACCTTGAGAGCAAATCCATGGATGAACTCAAGAGAGCCTATCGCGGTGCCATGGACGAGGCGTATCGAAACCACATCCAAACCCAGCTCCGCCGACCAGGTCTTCATCACAACAGTAATCCGCAAGCTCCGATGGATAAAGTTGGATTGATGTTTCAGCAACTCAAACTCGACCTGCCGTCGACGAGTGAACGTAAACGCATCAGCAACGAGTTCGCTGCTGAATTCAACCGCAATCGATTTGAAGCTACCGGCGCTTCTCATCTCCTTAAGCAGCTGAAACGTCTCGACTACAGCATCGTTCTTGTCGACCACAGCTTTGACTGGGAGGTTGTCAAGGATCTCAATTTCTGGCACGACGTCGGTGCTATGATACTTACAGAAGATCTGTTGGTGCGCAAGCCTAACCCTCGCGTGTTCCAAAAGGCGTTGGATGGATGCGAAGTCTCTGCGAAGACTGCTCTCATCGTTGGGTGTTCAGTGGAGGAGGACATTCGTGGTATCCTCGATGCTGGCGCAGAGCCAATCTTGTACATGCCAGGCCATAATTACATGACTATGGATGTTCGGGGTACGCGTGTTCTGGTTGTTCGTACTATGGCTGAGCTATCGTCGGAGATACACCTTCGACCGGAAAACAGTCAGCTCGTACCGGCACAACATAACCAGCCACCTCCTAGACCACAGCACCCAGTTCACCCGCCAATGGTGTACGCACCACAGAATCAGGAAAACCAGAGCGATCAGAACGCTGCACCCTCGTCGGCACGACAGCGGCTACCTTCGATGAGGCTGCATCCACCCACGGAAGACTATGGGATTTCTAGCACAAATCTTGCAAACAGATCGAGTCCCAGTCCGTCGACACAGAGTTATGGCCCCCGTGCACCAACACCGGCCACGGAAGTACCGACATCGAGTGGTCAGGTTTCCCGTAGTGTCAGCGCTGACAGCAACTCGCCCGTCCAAAGCTCTGGGGGCTCGACGCCACGGGGGTGGCTACCTTCAATGAGACTGTATCCTCTCACCGAAGACTATGGGATTTCCATCCGAAACCACAATGAGGTTCGGGATCAGCCGCACTCTCGGCATGATGGGTATGGACATGGGACTTCGAGGGACAGGTACACTACGCAGGCCGCATATCCACGTCCACTACCGCCTAGACCTCCGTATCGACCACCCACCCCAAGCCACGCTGCCTATCAAGATCAGACACGCTTTCGGCGAGAAGGACGTGAGTATGAGACTTCGGAGAACAGGTACACCATGCAGGGCGGATACCCACCTGGACCCTCGGCCCAACGTCAGAGCATAGCTCCAGAGCTTAGAGACGTTGCTCAAAGTAGTCTGGACCTAGCACGAGATATTGGACCAACTGATTCGTCTTCCAAGGATGTAAGTGGAATACCTCGTCCCCATGCGAATCAATATCTTGCTAACTTTTACAGGTCGATGATCAGACTGGGGATATGGCAGGTCGACAGTAGCTGGCTGAGTAAGTTTCTTGTGGCTGATTATGCGGGCTGCGTCTGCAAGTCCAGTAGGGTTGACTTTGTTGGACAGTTTTGGAAAACGGTTGAGCGGACCAGATAGTTCAGATGGCTAAATTGAATCTGGTTCGTTTAACCTTGCTTGGTGTCACTTTTCCGACAGGAATATCACTAAGTTACTTCCCCACTGCAAGTGTCTCAAGCATTGTCTCGCCCTATGGTTGCGGAGCTAAATGTAAACTATCTAACGGTGAATACTTATTACCGCCAAAATTACTCGGCGATACTTATGCAGTCTTCTTACTCGTGACATTAAGATTGCTGTCATCTCACAACGCCACGAAGCAACAAGCTATTTCCGATACAGAGAAGATTAGGCGAGTCCGAGACTAAAACAAGGGGCAAAGCACACCGGCCAAAACCGTTACAGCACGGTTGAATAAATGACAACTACCCCCTTCAACAAAATTTTCAACTCTACAACTAATAAGAATAACAGAGAAATGAGCTCTGGGTGCTCATCAAATCCTTGAACTTCAAGTCATCTGCCAAGCCATGCATGAGAAGCATATCATCGAGAGAAGCAGGCTCAGGCTTGGTTCCATCAAACTGATCCTGGGTCTTATACCCAGCAAACTCCATGGTGCGAGTCTTGGGATCTTCTTGCTGCCAGAGAGACCAAAGGCGATCGATCTGGGCGTGATGAAGGAAGAAGATGGGATCTAATATATTAGCAATGATTTTCGAGAAATATGGAACGAGGGTACAGGGCTTACCATTGGGGGAAGTGTTGGGAATCATATCACCACCGATTGCACTGTGGATAGCACCGTGAGGACCACTCTCTAATTTCTGACGATAGTGATCGTAATCCTTGACCTCCTGGACCTTGGCAACTGCCTCCTTATTGTAGTTCTCAGATAACATCTTCCCAACATTTTCACTTCCATTATTCCATCCTCGTGCCAGACAATGGGGATCGTAGTTGGTGGTCAGGTAAGCAGGGAAGAGATCTTTGAATGGTCCGTCGTCGAGGCACTTTCTAACAGCACGCCCATCATAGATAGATTCGGTCTTGTTGAGGCTACCGTTACCGCCAAAGCCGGTCTTGGGGTCCCAGATGGTAGACTTGGGCGTGTCGTCGGCATCCAGAGACCAGTCCCAGCACCTAAGAACTGATGTCAGTATATACATGGTGTTGGGCTTCATTGAGACAGAAAACTCACGGCATGACACCTTCGTAGCCACATTCCTTAAGGGCGCCCTCATAGACGTGCACAAAGAATCGGTGCCAGGGGAGGAACGAAGCTACGGCGTGGACTGGCCGCCATGAATTGTTAACGCACTATTCTGTCGCAGTAAAGAGAGGACTTTAACGTACTCTGCTTGTCCAGATGAGCGTGCACATACGGAAAGTCATCGTAAAGAGTGGTGTTGAGACCGAGACGAGATGGCTTAGTTGAGAGGCATAGAACAGCGTCGGTGTACTGTTGACGTGCTGCATCATCGAGTTCGTGCCATTCAACACGCTTGATGGGGTTCTCGCACTTGGAAACCGCAGCCGCCGTGCAAAGAGCGGGAAGGGTAAGAGAGAGAAAACGCATCTTGGCGATAGATAGTGGCCTGTAGGATAAGCGAGAGGATGTGTTGAAAGTCTAAACGATTGAAAAGAGTCAATGAGTTGCAAGATGACGATCGACCTAAGGACACTTGTATTGTTATGCTTATATACCTGAATCCCGTTTTTGCACGATACTCCGTGCTGATCGGCAAACCCACTTGCTAGCTGATAGTGAATACGAGGGTTACGCTATGGCACTTCGTTTAGTTCCTAATTCCTGTCTATTAAATTCCGTTTAAGGCTGGCTATCTTTAGAAATCCCCACACGATCTGCATTGAATATCCACATATGCAGTGATATTCCATTAACCATGTTTGAGTTCAGGCGCCGAAGCGTAGCTTTGTTTGCGAGACAAAAACATCACCCTAACTGAGCCTGTATTCCAATATTCATTGTATGTGCTTGGGTAGTCTCTAATGATGCGCTTATATATATCAACTTTAGGGTTTCTCAACCAGCCGCTTAATATTAGCAGTTGTGAGCTTGAAGTGTTATTTGCCGCTGAGACTTATGGCTGAAAGCTTAATCCAGCCGAGAGAACCTAGCTTAATATTAGCGTAGCAGTGACTCAGAAGCTCCTGGACCCACGGTCTTGTTTCATGTATTTTGGCTCACGGGTGTATATTTATATGGTCGAGCTTGGACGGGCCGTGCGTCATGCTAAATTAAGGCTCGTGTAGTAAATGCTGCGAACCATAAGGCTACAAAGTACTCCTAATACACGGCAGTGTAGTAGAGACAGCCGTGATTGGTAGGCAACCTTCGACATTCATCAATAAGTGGCACTTGGGAGTGGATATATTGGTTTCGGAAGTTAAATCACCCTTTTTAGTGGGAGAACTTGGCGGAGCACTACTCCAGTTTTGGGGAAACTCGAGCCAAGTATTTCTGAAATATTGTCCCTTTTTATCTTAGGCAAAGTAGCCTCCTGGTCCAACGCTCTAGTCCCACAGGACAGACATAGTGGAGGTCAAGAAGAGCGATAGCTGTGTTTAGGGTGGAGAGTGACCATGACATCAACCGTTTGAGCGCATCCTTGGTAGTATACATTAAGTCACACAGATAACGTTCGATCCGATGTTGGGGGTCTCTATCGGTGGGGTTGATTAGCTGGCAAAGGAATTATTGCCTACGGATAACGTTATCCTGAAAGCCAGACACCAGGAACATCATTCGCGGTACGAGGTCAGGGTATCCAGACTTTCCCCTCAGCATGCTTGAATTGGTTGCTGATCTTCACTTAAGTATACCTAATTTTCCCTTTGAAGCCTTTCAAGTAATCGTCTTGTCACTCCTCATGCCAGTTTATAAGCAGACAGGATACAAACCAAGCGCAATTCTCACAGAAACATGGGCCCATTGCTCCAAATTCATCCGCTTGCATTTAATGCTGCAATACTTAATTTTGAGGCCTTCTACACCAATGTGGCTTAAGGGACCGCGACCATCGCGCCCATTTTCGGGTTTTACTCCAGGATGTATGACGTTTATATATGCATGCAGACCATGTGACTTTCTTACCTGCAGACCCAGAGGCGACAGAAAGTCAAGTGATACGCTTAAAAACGGACAAGATAAATGAGAAGTCGATCATTGGCTCTTGGCTGTTGAATATGGTCGTATTTTATGCCAATCTGCAATGTAACCCATAAGCGTGACCAAGCCACTGCATATGCACGAGGCTGTATAAGGTAGATGTGGCTGTCCTTTACCGCTGACCGGCTAAATACAGCGCAAAAGAACTGTTAAGATAAACTGTTTTTGGGTTGTGAGGGAGGATATGTAGACTCGCCGTCTGATTTAAAATTGGGCTTAAGATCCCAGTTGTATCCCAGTTCAATCGTTTAACATTTTACGCCATACATTTCGTTTCAGAGGCAGCCAAGTCAATATCTGACAAAACCCAATTAGTAGCGATGACCTTCTCTTATGTATCAGATCCCTCAACATCCAGTAACATCGGCATAGTCGCTTTCTGTTTGCTATTATCCTGGTGGCTCGGCACATCCTTTCTAGCATGGTATCGCCTCCGACACGTCCCAGGCCCCTGGTTCGCAGGACTCAGCTACATATGGAACGGCTGGATAGCCTACAGCGGTACACAACATCATGTATTCGTCGCTCTCGACCAGAAGTACGGGTCACTTGTTAGAATCGGACCACAGGTCCTGCTCACTTCAGATGTCGAACTCGTCAAGCGCATGTCGGCGACAAAGAGCTCATATGGCAAATCATCTTGGGTCGATGGTGTGCGCTTCAATCCGTATCATGAGACTATGTTTGCGGTGAGAGATCCGCGTCAGCATGATCGCGCAAAGGCAAGGGTTGCGCCTGCGTATAGTGGTCGTGACACACCGAATCTCGAGGGCGCTGTCGACCAGCAGGTGAACAATCTCATATCTTTGATTCGCCGCCGTTATCTCTCAGAGCCGGCATCTGGCGTATTCCGTACCCTGCCCCTTCTTAACGTCTTATCATATTTCACCCTCGATGTCATTTCCAAAGTGGCGCTTGGGACTGAGTTTGGTTGCTGCGCTTCTGACTCGGATCCCTATAGGTTCTATGAAGGGTTGGATGAGCATATGCCTTTGATGGCGCTGACGAGTGATGTGCCGTGGATACGAGCCATAATGTACTCGACTACGTTTCTCAAATACTTTGGGCCACGCGAGACTGATAGTCATGGAATTGGCCCATTGATGAAGTAAAAGACCCTCATCTTGAATGGCTCCAATATTTACCCGGAACGGCCTTGGGCTGACTTATCGCGCTCAGGGTTACGAATGACAATGTCCGACAACGCTATAGTCAAGACCAAACAGAGAAGACTGATATGCTGGTAAGTCAGTGTCTAGTTCACCGATCGAAATGGTTTTTGAGCGATCATTGATGTTTTCTGCTATCAGAGCTCATTCAAAGTCCATGGTCTGTCCGAAGGCAACGCCCAATCCGAGACGCTCTTCATGTTCGTCGCGGGATCCGATACCACGGCGTCGGCTATCCGAGTCACTCTATTCTACCTCATGTCCTCTCCTCGCGTCTATAGGAAGCTCAAGGAAGAGATTCGAGACACTATTCGTGAAGGAAAAGCTTCAAGTCCAATTACAGCTGCTCAGGCACGCGAGCTGCCCTATCTCCAAGTGAGTACCCTTCGCCTTCTTCACCCCACACATTGATACAGATAGCTGACTTCCAATAGGCAGTTATATATGAAGGTCTTCGCATGCGACCAGTAACAACAGGTCAGCAAGCCAAGGAGGTACCGGCTGGAGGCGATAACATCAACGGGTACTTCATCCCCGGCGGTACATCCATCGCCATAAATTTCTCGGCTATTCTAGGTTCAAAAGCTCTCTTTGGCCCAGACGCCGATGTCTTCCGACCAGAACGGTTCATCGGTCTCTCAGCCTCCGATCTCGCCGAGATGCGTCGCAACGTCGAAATGAACTTTGGTCACGGCCGATGGATGTGTGCTGGAAAGCCGTTGGCGTTTATGGAGCTGCAAAAGGTGTACTTTGAGGTTTGTTTCAAAGCAGAATTTATCCCAAGGATATAGTTTTCGCTGACTTGTGGGGACATAGTTACTACGAGCTTTCGACTTTCAGCTTACAGAGCCTCTTAGTCCTATGCAATCAGAGAGTTACGCTCTGTTTCGAGATTTTGGACTTAAGGTGCGTGCGACAGTAGCAGAAGACATGGAATAGTTATTGGAGTCGATTGAGTGCAGGATATCATGTTTATAACGGTCTATCATTCTATGGGTACTTGAACTTGTAGCTTTTAATGCGGGTAGTAAATTGAGTGAATGTTATATGACAACACCACCACTCCCCCAAGCAAGCTTGCTACTTGCTCCATTTCAAAGACTGAAATACCAACGGCCGGAATGAACAGTTGGATTGGATATACCAGTCTCAAGGTGTTCACTGTACCTGCCGCCAGAATACCAATGAAGGCAAGATAGAGGATCCCAAACCCAAAGTGTAAAAGCCGGATTCTACGGATTCGTTGAAACAGGTTGATGCTGAGCTCTAAAAGAAACCGCTTTATGGATCTTGTTTCGGGCAGTATTCCAGAGAATACACTCCACTCAGGCGATAGTGGTAGATATATGAAGAATGTCACCATGACTGGGCACATACCCGTGGTTACCGCCATGAACCTGAAGAGAGTAGACTCTACAAAGATCCAAAGGGTTCGAGAGTCGTCAAAAAGGACAAGTAGAAATATTCCGTTCATTACCGGTAACAAAACCCCGGCAACAAGACATTTTTCAACGCGGTTGAAGCCTCTGAGCTGTTGTTCTGTCCAGTTCTTCCTTTGCTCGACTAAGAGAAATCCAAGCGAGATCAAACAAAGCCAAAAGCAATTATCGTTGATCCGCAAGGCAGCATCGATAGTGACGACACGCGGGAATATTTCGAACATGTCGGGGCCTGGTTTGTCGAAGAGCACTTGATTCTTGTATTGATAGTCATATGCTTCCGAGACTGGGCCCTCGGCTCCATTTCCGATGATGATATGCATAAGGTTGGCCCGGAGATACTGCGTCTTGTCGGAGGGGAAGTTCCATAATTGTATAGCGAAATGTACCATTGCGATAAGAGGGTATAAAATAGCCGCCATGAAGTCTGATGTTGGCTGGAAGCGATGGGCGGGATTCCATATCCAGGATACAGCTGTGGCTGCTACGATACAGTACCAGGCTGTGATAGAGCCTGGGCCATAGTATCCGGGCGTCGAGAGGACGATTTCTGACGACGACTCCATAATTATGTATAGAAGACTTAGAATTGTGAATTAAATTGATTCAAGAAGAATGAAGGGGATCGAGCTGGAAGTAAGCGCCTACGCTAAGTCTCGAATTAGAACAATGTCGTAAGTGGCGTTGGTAGAGAAGATAAGATACAAAACATCTCTCTTTGGCCTAGTGCCTTGTTATCTGATTCAAATTCAGGATCTGAATTGAAAGAAACAGATGTTTTTGTTACTGACCAGGACTGCTCGAAAACTGCAGGACCATGGCATAGGAGCCTCTGACCTGGCAGAGCGTTGTCGTTTCATGGCGTCTATTAGAGGGTATCCCCAACTTCAGTCCTAGCTCTTTGTTACATTGTGCACAACACGCATCGAATCCATCAATCAACCAAGAAGGGCAATGCCTCTCTGAGCATCTCACGACTCCATTCCTCAGATGACCATCGAATCTCAACTTATACATAAGCTTCAGAAGCTTCTGTTCACTCCCATAAGTACTTATCTATGCTTGACGCCCCGTACTTTTGATAGCTACCTATCGAGCCGACCGTAACATCATAGAAAGCCTTCTCTCTTCGTCCCTCAGCTCCTACATTCTTCGTTCCCGGTCTAGTACCTTATCGAGGAGATCAGACAGAATGTCGCAATAATAGTCATATTCCTTCTGGGCCGCGTCCTTTGTGGCTTGGTCGTGGGACCCGTATACGATCGCCTGCTTGTCCATCTTCTGCTGCGTTATGTGCTTTGTATAATCCTCGGCAGCCTTTATCTCTCTTTCCAGATGCTCCCTCTCAAACCCAACATTAGCCAATCCTTATAGGATCTCGGCTTTAGATGACATGGTGTTCTTGTTGTACTGTAAAGCTATATAATTTTCAAGTGCTGACGGATCTTACGGAGGGGTCCTTTTTCTGATAAATGGTTAAAACATAGGGAATAGCGAGCTTTTATATCTTTTAAGCCTGGTTTGTCACTCACAGCTGTCGTCTAGCTTGATGGTTCGAGCCTGTGTTTCCTTTGTGAATAGGGAGCTGTTTCTTGGGATTAGAGCGTATACCACCAATGGAACCATGTATGACTTGCTGTTCACTGTAAGTAATAATGCTGAGATTCGATTTCCTTGTAACGCGATACACGAGCATCACTCAAAAACTCCCCCGCCATGGGGCTCAGCACCTAATCAATATCCATACCCACATGCTGTTAATCAGTGACGGCAACCAACAAAAGGCCTCAAGGCCATTGCTCTTATTCACTTAATACAGCCACCTTCGCCTATCTACTTTCTCTTGAAAACTAAAGAAGCACCTGAGGCATCCAATCACAATAGTGACAGACCCCTACAGGATCCTCACGTTTCCCCATTTCACTTGACAATCGTAAGGGCCCACAGTCAGAAAAGATGTTGAAAGCTTTGGTTCATTTGAAAAGTCTGTATCTAAGCCTTGTACACTTGCTGCCTCATCGTCTCAAGCTATCACCAAAGCGCTATGCGCAAATCCCTCAACAACTCCCTCTCCTTGTCCCTATAGTTCTGCAGCTGCTCAGCCCGCTCCTCTTGCTTATCGCAGAGCCTTGTAATAGTCGCACACAGGCGATCATGCTCCCTTCTTGATGAATCCTTTTCGGCCTCGCTCCTCTTTCCGTTCATTATTCTCTGCGCCTCTCTCCTTTTCTCCATTAGGTCTTGTATTTCCCAGCTGGCGGTATCATAGTTGATCTGCAATCGCTCCATAGTTGCTCTGAGCCTTTCGAGCTCTGCCTCGATCACCGCTTTAGAGGGCATAATGTTGTAGCTGTGCGTTCAAATGGCGTGAGGCGTGTAGGTATTTATTTATAGTTCTTGGAATAAATTATTTGGCTGGAGATTGTTGAAACACAGATCTCACGGCGTTTTTATATTCCAACGGCCAAGTGCTTAATTCACTGACTAGAATGGACCTTCACTTTCGCTAGCACTGCATATTGTGTAACTTGAGCAAAAGCAGTGAATCGACCGAGGCATTTGATTCGTTAGTTAAAAGTTGTAGAAGACGGCAAGTGTTAAAACTCAACATAATCACCCATTTCATGATCTCTAGCTCTTCCTACGCAATCGCAGGGCGTGTTCGGCACATGGCCAAGACTACTGTTGTTAGTGAGTGACGGTGGCTAAAACAGAAATCAGATTCCCTACCATCTCATGTCATACAATTATTCATGGATCAGCTGTCTTGATGCAACTGTTACTTTTTCACTGCTGAGTGTGCCTCATCATACCATGTCGTTTGCTTCAATCTGATGCTTATTTATGGCCTCAAGGTATTTTCATTACCTAAAGTTTAACTTTCTCGACAAGGAATATATTGTCTACCTCTAAACGATCAACCGTCTAATTTGGCCGATTGTAATTCTCTCTCAAGACATGCAATCTTTCCATTCTTCATAAGCAAGTCCATCTTCAGTTTCTCTAGCTTGAGTTCCTGTTCTACCTCTTGACGAAGAAACTCTGAACGCTGTTGCCGAGCCACGCATGTCTGCTCATCGCTAAAGTTTGGGGAAGTACATATTGCAGTGGCAGCCCGTCCTTTTGCCTGCACCCCCAGTATTTCCCAATTTACATTGTTTATGTCCTTTTCTGTCGTATTTATTTCGCATTTGACGGCAGAAATCTCCGCCTCAATGGATTCCCTGCTTCTAGGCATTTTGTTGTGGATATACTATCAGGCGGTAAGAAGGGTGTAGCTCTGTGGTTATAATTCTTTAGCTAAGGTAAGTTGCTTTACAGGAGATATTTTAGGTGCCCATCTTAGGTTAACTTTTATAGCTTTCTGACCTGGCATTTCACTGACTGGTATTTCAGAATATGATATTGCTTTTTCAAACACTATCTACTGATCAACTGTTGTTGTCATGGTGTACCCTGAACAGGAGCAGTGAAACTACAGCTGCGCACTAGGTTCTTTCTGCTGATACAAGCTCTCAACTACAACGAATGCAGATGATGTCTCCTACTGGCTGTCTCTGATGTTGAGAGCGGCCATCTTTACTTGATGTTTGTTCTGCGGATTCATAACTACTGGGCGAAAATCAGGTCCCTCGTGCCGTTATTACTACTGGGCTTCGTGAGGGCACATTTCCTATGCCATGTTCCTTCATTCATTTATCAAGAAGGAAGTATTAGTATAAACATAGGAAGTTAAATCTCTGTATTGCCTATAATCTCCTAATGTTTCACCTTCTGAAGGAGAAGCAGATCCTATACTATAGTAAAAGCCCTTTAACCAGTATCAATGGCCCCTTACGCTTGCAGTTGATGCTGAAGTCTTGTCTCTTTTGCTCTCAATCTCTGTAATTCTGCCCTGCTTCTGTTTTGCTGACGGTACAGTTCATTTTCCTTATCAATAAATTCCGCAACTTGCTGTTGAGCCACGATGATCCGATCGTGCGGATAGTTTCCAGTCACTATCGCTTGGGCAGCGGACTGTTGTGTCTGCACCTGAATTATTGCCCATCTTATATCGTCTATTTCCTTCTCGGCGAAGGAAATGTCGCTTCTTGTGCGAACTAGTTCCAACGCGATTTCTGTCTTTGTAGAGGCCATGATATCGTGGATATATTATCAAATAGTTGATATGTTTTATTTCTTTGGTTGTGTTTCTTTACAGGAGATAGTTTACATGCCCAGCCTGGGGCCTTTTATAGCTTGCTGGTGTGGCATTTCACTGACTGACTGATATTTAGGATCAGATATTGCTTGTGCAAACACAATCCAGGGATCCATCATTGGTGTCATGGTACCCTAGATAGAATCAGTGAAGCTACTGCTACACCCTAAGTCCTTTATGCCTATACAGCTATAAGCCACAAGCACCGATAACTGAGCGCATATCTAGCTCACAAATTAGACAATGTATCATCATCTACTGAGTTACACACTTTGCTTATTACATAACCACGATGACCCACAATGTGACATCGTTTTGTAGCCACTGTGCGATTAAAGGGACACTACACATAACCACCACGATGATCAAGTGTAGTGTCAGGTTTAGTGCATCTAGTGGGGGCTAGCGGATGAAAAAAGTAAATCAATTTACTGTTTCCCAAATGGTGTCGTGAAAGTATTTATATATCTATGTTCTCCGTTCTGATTAAGCTCTCGGCCATAAATCTCAATTGCGAGTATTCACTATTTAGCTGTGTGATTTGCAGTCGATACTTGTGGCTGAGAGCTTAAATCCTCAGACAGACTTCCGCAACTATTCACATATCAATCCTCACAGTTCACCGAGTCCTGTTTACTACAGTCAACGATCAATTCTACACGTGAGCAGTTCCAATTAACTCAATACCTCTCCAGTAACTTAAACCTTTCTAATGTGCTTTGAAGCACCGACAAGACTCAAGTACACGACTACCTCATTAGATCATATTTGCACGACATTGACCAAGGGGCAAATTTTATACCTCATGGCTTCATTCACCAGAATTGGGGGGTTGGTGCATGAAAAACTCTTGATGTGAAGTCTATACCATTTCTAGTATCCTGAAACCCAACCTCTTGTAGCGATATCGTATATGGTACCGTAAGGGAATTGGCCTTTCAATGCATCCCGTTGCTTAGTCTGGACCTGTCCACTCGTCTTTGAACTCTTCAAGCTGTTTCTTCCTCTCCTCCAGCTTCGGCAGCTTCCTCTGGAGCTTTTCTTTCTCTTTGCATAGCTCGTCTTCCTTGTCACAAAGCGCTTCATGATTCTGTTGAGCCGCGATCTTGTCGGTAAGATTGTCGTCTCCAGTTATTATCTCCCGAAAGCCGATCTTTTTCCATTGTACGTCTGATATCTCAATTTTGATGCTTTCGATTTCTTTTCTTGCCGTCACTATTTCGGTTGTGACAATATTAATCTCTCTCTGGATCTCGTACTTTTTTTCGAACTTCTTTGTGGGCGGCATGTTGGTAACGTTGTGCTAGCCAGTGTTGCGGTTTGTTTAATGTGTTTGTTTGGGGGACACCTCATAGAACAGCTTAGAGGATTGTTTGTATGACTGTTGTATGGTTGTTTGTGTGATTGCTCGTAGTCCAGTTTGTAGGGCGTACCTATACCAGTTATTATAGTCTGCTTGGCTTGCATTTCACTGATTCACATGGCCGAGTCAGACGTGACATTCGCTGTGACCCTCTGTCCAATAGCGTGAGGAAACTCAGATTCAGAGTCATGTTGAGTCTTCGGAGAGTGAACATGGCTGGATTCACGATCCATTCAATGCTGTTGACTGTCATGGACAAGCAACCCGTAACTTGTAGCCATCGTGAGTGGCTCACAGACTCCTCAGGTAGCGGAAAGATGTTTCACCATCATTACCACGGTTAGTGACGCAGGACGGTTTGCAACTGATGCGTTGTCGCGTTGCTCCCTTTGACCATTTTTCTGAGTCCTTGGCTTGTGATGCACAACTGACTTCTGATTTTGAATGAGGAATAATTTCTGATCAGCGTATCAGTTCATCGCTCGGGAGTCCCGTCTTGTGAATCACCATGTCTTTGAGCATCCATTTCACGGACATAGAGCAGAAAGACTCCCAAACACACCACCACTCTGACGCTTGCGAGGACGGGGCTTTGCTGAGATGATACATCAAGCCTTATGCCGATAATTCTACATCGCATATGGGCAATGACCAAGTAGTGTCGATGCTCATGTTACCGTCATTGGCAGAGGCAGCCCCAATTTGTATTAGTGCATCGGAAACCTCGTGTTACCCGAAAAGCCCGCTCCAGAATCGGCAATCCCTTTTGCACTATCAGCAGCCTTCATTCCAACCCCATAAACGTTTCCGTAAAGGGCACCTCTAGCTTCAAGCTAGTCAAGCCGTGACATCATGCTCCACGCTTGGTGAGGTCCGTGATTTGCCAGTTGCTAATTATAGCGAGTCCACTTCGTATGCTACCCGGTAGATCGGCACTTTGAGGCTTGGAATCACGAGAATCAGCGCCACTAGCTGGGACTCTTTTCCATCAACGTTGCATTTTCGATCAGAGTTTCTCTGCAGCTCATGGTTTTAGTTAGTACTAAGCGGCAGTTAGTGTCGCGGGAAGACAGCGCATTATTGCTTTAGCGGGTTAGAGTTCGTAATTTCACCTATGCAGGGATGGTTTAATTTCTATTCTGCACCCGGGGACAGCGAGGACCACTGATGGTAGATCCGCAACGTAGTTTTTACTTTAGCTCATGTCGTATTAGGCTTGAATATCAATTCGTAACGCGTCGATCTGTGGACCATGCGAGTGCGAGGGTGGCCACGGCAGTTGATGCATTTAATAACATTTAATGTCCGCTTCATCCGCTTTGTTTCACTCCATTCCATTCATCCTTCCATCACCCTTCCATTCCTCGCAATCATTCACGATGCATCTTAATACACTTCAGTGTCTGGTCATCGGCCTCGTCGCCAATGCTGCACAATCATCAGCTGTGCCGACGAAACGAGAGGCTATGAATAGCTGTCTTGTCCAAGCAAAAGTCCCAGTCGACACCAAGGGCACGCAGACATGGACCGAAGACGGCACCGCTTACAACCTTCGCCTTCAATTCGAACCCGTCGCTATCGCAGTCCCTACAACCGTAGCTCAAATCTCCGCCGCAGTGGCATGCGGCTCAAAACATGGCGTCGCAGTTAATGCCAAGAGTGGTGGCCACAGTTACACATCCCTTGGTTTCGGCGGAGAAGACGGCCATCTCATGATTGAGCTGGACCGCCTATACAGCGTCAAGCTAGCCAAGGATGGCACTGCCAAGATTCAACCTGGCGCACGACTTGGCCACGTCGCTACTGAGCTCTGGAACCAGGGAAAGCGAGCCCTTTCTCATGGAACTTGTCCTGGTGTTGGTATCGGTGGTCACGCCCTGCACGGCGGCTACGGAATGGTCGCGCGCAAGTACGGACTCACGCTGGACCTGATGAAGGGCGCTACTGTAGTTCTCCCCACCGGAAAAGTGGTCCACTGCTCCAAGACCGAGAACTCGGATCTTTTCTGGGCCATTCGCGGCGCTGGTGCTTCATTTGGTGTCGTCGCTGAGCTCGAGTTCGACACCTTTGCTGCGCCAGAACAAATCACCTATTTCGACATTGGTGGTCTGAACTGGAACCAACAAACTGCTCCTCAGAATCTGCTGGACTTTCAAGAGTTTGGAAAGACCATGCCTGCGGAGATCACTATGCAGATGGCCATCTCCAAGAACGGATACAGTGTTGACGGTGCTTATGTTGGTACGGAGGCTGAGCTTAAGAAGGCTCTCCAGCCGCTGCTTGCCAAGTTCAATGTTCAAGTCAGCGCGACGACTGTGGATTGGATCCAGCTTGTTACTCACTATGCCGGTGCGAATGTCAACATCAACCCTACCAGCGCTTCATACGATGCTGTAAGTCTATCTCTCCCATAATGGTGATTATTTGCTAACAATTTGCAGCACGACAACTTCTACGCCAGCAGTCTGCAAGCTCCTGAACTCACTCTCGCTCAATTCAAGTCCTTCGTCGACTACATCTCCACCACTGGCCAGAGCAGTAGTCACTCATGGTGGTTGCAGATGGACATCTCTGGCGGCAAAAACTCCGCCATCTCCAAGCACAAGTCCACCGACACAGCTTACGTTCATCGCGACGCGCTTCTTCTCTTCCAGTTCTACGATAGCGTGGCGCAAAATCAGAAGTATCCCTCTGATGGCTTCAACCTGATCAAGGGTCTGCGACAGAGTATCTCCAATACCCTGAAGGCAGGTACTTGGGGAATGTATGTCAATTACCCTGACTCGCAGCTCAAGGGTGATAGAGCTACCGAGATGTACTGGGGAAGCAACCTCGCCAAGTTGGAGTCCATCAAGGCGAAATACGACCCCAAGAACATTTTCCGCAATCCTCAGTCAATCAAGCCCAAGGCTTGAAATAATTTATAGAGAGAATTGTATTTTTATCGGTACATATAGACTTATTCTTTAGCGTGTTTTAGTAGTTTAAGATCATAGATTTTTTTTCATTCAAGCCAGGTCCCGGGTAGCCTCTATTTTTATTTGTTTTCCAAATCGACCATTCAATATTTCGGTCAAGTTGCTCGGGCTGCTCATAGAGTATGCTATTTCCATATGTAGAGTTTCCCTACTTTCCAATCCAAAGCATAATTATTTTCAAGGGTATCTACTTTCGCAGCTCCGGGGCACCATGTATATGGTGATTGACCTCCATGGCTACATGTTAACTCCAACGGGTAACAAAAGATAGCCAAAAGGCTGAACTTAACGAAACTGCATGCATAACCTATAACTTAAATTGCCTTTCAACGTCCCCTTCTCAGTTGAGGCATAAATAAACATCACTCGGTAACGACAACAACGTTGGTAAAACTAACAGTCTTGGGAGACTGTTGGTTGTTACAGCCCTAACGCACTTTGAGTTAGTTCCCCTGCGAATTGACTGATATGATTGGCCCAGCTATCGTCTCACCGTTTATTTGCCCACCTTCTGCCTAACTGTGCCCGAAATAACGGGGCCGGTTTTAACGCCAGCGAACCAACACTCGACTTACTTTAAAAAGTCTTCCCCTTTTCTATCATCACCTCATCCATTTCCTCACCAGTTTTCCTTAGAAAAGCATATAATCGCAATAATGTCGGACCTCAGCGACCGAATGCTGCAGCTAGACATGGCTCTGACCCAGAACGGGACAGCAGCCACGCCTCATCTACGTCAAGCGCGGATCAAACGCAAAAACAGCCCTACAGACATCAGCCATTTAGTCTTTGGTCCGCAACCAGGGAAGAAGCATCAATTGTGGATCACGGATCGAATCATGGAACCTCAGACAATTCCTCACTTCTTTGAGTTTCTCATGAACGGCGAATTACCTGGGGATCGAAAAACGTCTCGTCCTTTGCTTACGGTCGAAGAGGTCAAGAACATGACTAGGCCATCCTCGGAATGGGCGCCTGCTCCACATAATCGACAAATGAGATCGACTGGGGAATGGATAGGGATTCGAATTGGCTCGTATGAAGACAGTTCGAGACTCTGGCCGATTGCCAAGGAGCTCCATGCTATGAAATCGAGGCTCTGGGAGGGAGTACCGCCGATATCTGAAAGACGATGGCAAGAATTGGGGCTTGATCATCCGGACAGATTCCCCGAAGCTTGTCGTTACTTCGTTGCGGTCATCAATGTCTTTATCTACCTGAACACCAAGCGCACCAAGGCAGCTCTGCGAAAGACTTACAACCTCATTTGGGAACATCTCAGTGTGTTTGAGCAGGCCGTTAACGCCAAGCGAAAAGCGGAAGCAGAAGATGGCGTTTATCAGCACGTATCAGTCACTGGCCTCTGGTATGAGTTCATTAAAGCCCAGTACAACTCCATCTGTGAGAATGCCCACCATTGGATCATCGAGCACATCGATCGCATACGAGAGTCAATCGTACAAGAGCTCGCGCTACACCAGCCCGATCATCCAGATCATTACAGCGACAAACAATGGGAATTGACAAACAAGCTACACGACCTTGCCGAAAACACCTCTCAGGCTGATTACACCATAATGATGCCCACTGATGGGTACAAAGGCGATAGTCTCCCAGTTCAAGAGGACGATTGCCTTACAGAAGCTCATGGCGGTGGGTTTCGCACAGAAACGATCACCTGGTCCGCGAATCTGTCATGGCGGGCGTCTGACTACACCAAACGTGTTAGATATCTCGACCGGAAGGAAATGTACAGCCATTTTCAGCATGAGGACTTTAGAATGCTTCGAAACTCCGTTGGTGTGACTGACCCAGCGTGTATGGTCATCTCGGCAATTAGTCAGATTGATGCGCAATCCATGGCTAGGGAAGAACTGCGAGGGCTCCCGAACTATCCGGATTTTCTACCGTGGATTGAGTATGCGCGACGAAGGTCGAATAGACATTTGGGATTTGTCGCGTATAGACTTTGTCATGAGTATAGTCCTGAGAAGTGGGATTTGTTCAAGGTCAAGTTTGAAGCTGATATTTCTGATTGGGGACGAGGGACGGTTGGCATCAATGATATACGCAAAGCGTGCAAGATTCAATGGATTGACGGGGAAGAGAAGGATATTGCGGATGATGATATTGAAGCTGCTAAGAAGTAAGTTCAATGACTACGAGGTTACGAAAAAAGCTAATAGCTGCACAGGCATTTCGAAACCCTTTCAGACCAGTTAGTACACGACCGAGTTTTCCTCGTCATCGATGAAGCAACCATGAAATCATATCTCGAACCCGAGCCCGGAAAAGAGAGATTCGTCCTCGCTGTGGACGCAAAGTACAAACCAACAAACGAAGAGAACGTCGAGTCACCAGGCTATAAGGGAACTTTGCGCATACTAGGCAGTCTTCTTTGGGATGAGCTAGGCGCACTGTTGGTGATGCAGAGCGCGTTTCTAGAGAATCTCTGGCCGATGGCGATGCATGATGCTGAGGGTATTTACCGCGGCATCAGGACTACATCAGTGCTCAAGTTCTCATCTTATCAACAGAATCTGAACTGGAGGCTTGCGAGTGAGATAGTCCCCAAGTTGGTTGCTTTCAGAAGGAGACTTGAGTTCAGATCGAGGAGGTAGATTGACGGCGCGAAAAGCTAATAACTGAATTGTTGTTCCCGTGGCTAATAACCCCTGCCAGCCTTTTTGGCCGCAGTCCTCGCTCGCGTGATCTGCTTCTTCCAACCAAAACACTGACTGCACGCTAAATGTTCTAGTCAGAATTATGTTTTTCAATATGCAACAGCCGCGACTTACTCCCGCTGTGATGTTTATTGCAGACATAAACGCCATCGTTGTTGACGGAGGCATCTGGAGTTTCGATTGCATCGCGGTCTATAGTGTCAAACTACATCGCGAATAACGGTTATAAATAAACGGGTTCTGGTTTAGGGAGAGAAATAATGACAACGTACACCGTAGAAAGCGTCGTTTTCTTCGCGCAAATCGGCGTTGCAGTCATCGCACTATGGAGAAGATGTTAGATGTTTTGATAGGCTTTGAGGAGGGAGAGTGTACTGACGATTTCTGCGAGATGCTGCTGGCAGAACATTGCGTCGTTGATCTCAACAGTGGCGGCCATAGTTGTGTCAATGAGAGAATTGAGAGATCGAGTATAGTATAAAATGAAATGAAATGGAATTTTAGGAATGGAGAAAAGGTCTTGTCTTATAAAGTGATGCATTTTGGGGTCACGTCAGTGGCGGGCGAGATCTGCGAGACGCTACTGCAGCATTTGTGCTTGGACCACAGCTGAAAGATGGCATGGCCCAATAGTGAAGCCAAGAGCTAAGCGTCAACTGTATGTGATCGGCGCTGGTATTCTTGTAGCCAGGCTATTGGGTGAAGATACGAGCTTATCGACTAGAATCCTGGAACTCAGCTGCCAATATGAGACATTCTTTCCCTTTTTCAAAGAAACCTGGTTTTCGTGATGAGGTGTAAAGGTTGAGGGGTAAAAAGAAGCTGCAGCCTCAACACAAAGGCAAAGAGTACAAAGTAAAACATTTTAGCCGATGCTCAAGAAAGAAATCAAGAACAATTGGAATGGAAATGAGAACCAAAGTCCCACGCAATGGTAATACATAGTTGAAATAAAGTATAACAAACCAAGGTATATTCATTAAACGATCTAAATAAGAACTGATTTTATAGAATCTATCTCAATAGTTAATATAAACAAACACTCATCATGCACAAGTGTAACAGTTGATTTGCCTGCCTCCAAGTCTGTTCGAATAGAGAACCGTCTTAGATGGACGGCTTGGCGAGGAATCCACAATACCTTCCTAGAGCCCTTCATGAGCCAGGCTTCGGATTCTGAGTAAGATAGCCTAATGTAACGCGGGTCCCAGTGATCTTCTGCGGCCACCGTCGGTATGTCTTCAGAGCTACCACGTTCCATGTCGTATTTGAGGACACCAACTCTTGTGTCCAGTAGCTCGGGGGCTGAAAAGGTCAGAGTTGTAAAACAGTCCGAGACAGAGTACCTCCGAATCCAAGTACCGTCTTCAGTATTTCCAATGGCTATAAAATTCTGGTCTCTACCCCGTCCACAGATCGCAAGCAGACTATAGCCAAGGGAAATGTCGGAAATACGTCCAGTACTAAGACGTAGCACCTTTAGGTCAAAACACTGTATTTTCTTTCCGCCCATGATGTCCCATATCACTACACGAGAAGGGTCTGTCTCGTAAGCGATTCGGCCGTCGGATGTAATGGTTGATACTTCACTTGACTCTGAACATGGCAAGGATACCCTCCGCGAGCATTTGCCTGTCTTGAGATCCCAGAACTTGATGTAGTAATGGGTGCCTCCATCAGAAGTTATGATCAGCTCTTGTCCCCAAAACTGAGTTGTATGGACATGTTCAGACTCAGAGGTCGATATCCGACGTTCGCAATAGTAGAGGCCCGTCTCGTGGTCAAATCTAAAAATATGAATGGAACCGTGGTCTGTGGCGGCAGAAAAGTAGTCCTTGTGGCCAAATGCTAGTGACTGAGTACTCCAATATGACCGCTGGGACGAATTCTGAAGCGTCTTGGGCAGATGGTGAAATCTTCCATTCACTGCGATGCTCAACATTTCGCCCTCTTCGTTGCCACTGATGACGGCGACCTTGCCACTTGGCGATATGATAAAAGACCGAACTCTGCTGGTAGATTGTTGGATGGTAAGTTCTGGATAGCTCAGGACTGCGTCCAGGTTCCAGATCTTGAGAGTGCCACTTACGTACGCCATTGAAGCAAGTTGACCATTTTTCCCGCTGTATATCTTCCCGATAGCATAGCTACACACCTGTGCTACCCGTTTCTTGGCTTTCCAGTCCCATATTTCCATGCCAAAGAGACCACAAAGGGCCATTAAACGGTCATCAGCTACCCATGATACATCATATATCATCCTGGTCGGATCAAGTCGCATAATCTTCTGTACAGTTATGGATGAACCCCAGGAGTATAATACGAGCTCTCGATAATTGTGAACCATTAAACAGCAAGTCCGATCACGGCTAATCGTGGCAGCGTGGATATGGGCTAGGCCCGTCATCGACATTAGCTTGGACACTTGATGTCTTGTATCAAGACCCCAAATAGAAATATCCTTCTCCCCTAGAATCAAGAGAGCCTTTGGATAAGAAGGAATAATAATCCAAAATACAGATCGGATATTGTGTCCTTTGTCATAACAGCTGTTCACTTTCGTTTCCATTGCCGGGCTCCAAACATTAACCTTATCAATGGCCAGTAAAGCAAGTAATTCCCCATCTAGGGAGTAGCATAGAAAGAAGTACCCAGAATGGTAGTTAACTTTGAAAGATTTGATGAATATCCCGTCAGGCAGATGAAAGAAAGAAAGATTTAGTTCCTTTTCTTTGACGATAGATAATGTGACCAGTGAATCTCCACTTGGGTGGAAAGTAACTCCTTTCAGGCGACCTCTAGGAGATTCGATCGATTTGACAAGGCCACCAGTGGAAATATCAATCAAGAGTAGCCTATCACCTTTTCTATTTATAGTTGCAATTTGTCTACCATCAGGTGAAAATTCGCACGTGGACTTGTTGAACATATAATGTGCTGTATCTGGAATAGTCTGAAGGCTGGCGTCCCAACGTTGGAAGTCAGGAGAGAATGTATTTATGGCTTTGTTGATTTCCTGTCTAAAGTATGTTTTGATCTTGCTCAGTTGGGGAGTGAATATCAAAGCGGAGTCATAGAGTTGAAGTGGTGCAGTATCCACGATGACTCTGTGCATAAAGGCGAAACGTGCAGCATCATTGACCAGAAGCTTTAGCTCGTCGGGACCTCCGTTCTCCTGTGGAATGGTTAGCCACAGATTGAATTTTCTCGAGATACCACTGCTTACCAAATGATCTTCCAGTCTCCGCATTGCCTTGATTGCCTCTGAGGTACACCGCAATAGACTCATTGCCTCAAGCCAGTAGAGGTACTTCTTCTCCAAGAATTGGCTTATCATGCTATAGCACAAACTGCTTGGATGTTGGTTTTCGGCCAGGAGCCATGCACAGAAGTGATCAACCCAGTAGACGCAGGCATATCCAGCAATAGTCAGAGGGGCAGCTGGTAAAATGGGAATGTCATCGACCACAACACAACTGTCTTTGAGTCCATATAGATTCCGATGGAGTCTTTTGTCCATCATGTTCATACTAGAACTGAAGAAAGAATAATGCTGGTGCCCTACGCCTGATGGTAAGATCTTGGGTGCCTTGGGTAAGAAATCGTTGACCGACTGATGGACAGTGTAGACTTTATCTCCTCTGATTGTTAGGAGGGAGCCACACGAGGTGACAAGGCTCGATAGGGTATCGTTATCTTCAATCCACTCAGTAAGTTTTTCGTCGGCTGCGGCTAGCTCTTGTAGACTCAAAGGCCGTAGAGCGACAGCTACGACGGCCAGGATAGCTCTACACCACTCCATGTCTCTGTCTTTGATGTCGCTAATCATCCTTTCGTATAGCTCATTCAGTCCAGCAGGGAAGCGCCGTAAGATGCTGGAGCTGTGGTAATGTTTGACACCAGGCTTTTCCAGTTCTTGACAAACCAAAGAAACCCAAAGGAAAGTATCATTCGCATTATCAAGAAGGTGTTTGCGAATCTGGGTTCGAGTAGACTCATTGTAAGTTGAATTTAGCTGGGTGACCTTGCGATCAACAAATTTGAGAACAGCATTTGAGATCGAGGCGTGGTTGAGTTCGAGGTGCAATCGAACATGACTTTCCGTGGCATCAAGCTGTGATTCGATGTCAGGCCAATTGCGGCTAGAGATAACCCATTTGGCTTTGCATGATACTGAACACTGGCTGATATAGCCAATGAGCTTCTCGCGACCTTCGGTGCACTCATCCAAAGCATCAATGACGACGATGAAATCGGCAGATATCTCATCTTCCAGAATAGAGGTAAGGATCCCTGACAATGCGTACCATGCATTATGATTGGTGAAAACACTTGAATCAGCTTGATCATATTCCCTTCGAACATAGGATTTCAAAGCTGGTCGCTTGCAAACGATAGACCAAATGAGACCGCGAAGCACATAGGATGCATTTCGTAGGAGAGGTTGTGCGGCTTGGCAGAAGAAGTAAAAGACACCGCCCTGTGATGCTTTCTCTAACTCTGTAATGAGCCCAGCTAAAAGCATCGTCTTGCCTTTTCCGGGGTCGCCTCTGACCCAGAGTAAATGTTGTTCTGGATCGTCTCGCCATTTCGCGAAATTGTCATTTTCCAGAATCCATTTGTAACAGTCTTTGAGCAAACCGCCTTTATCATCTTCTATGCGTTTTTTATCGGCAATAGGGTCAGTGATGTAGAGATCTTCGAGGCACGAGTCCTTTCTCCCCTGTATCTCTGTCAGATCTCACAAAAAGACGTAACTAGATGATGGAGCGGCCATCTCCGAAGGTTACTCACATCTGCATCACACAGATTATTGATCTGCTGGGCGATCTCAATATGACCGGCGTTTACAGCCTTTTGCATGTGTATTCCGTCGCTCATCGCTCAGGCCGGATGTCATATTTAGAAAGAAAATTGAGCCTGCAAGAATCAGAGAATGAGTATGAACGTAACACTTCAAGTGTGCCGATCCTTTCTGGTTGGGCTCCAATCACACCCGGCACATCATCTGACCTCGGCGCCAATTGTCAAAAGTCATATACTTCTGACCACGTCACATCGTACACCATCTTGAATTCGCCCAACTTTCCTTTCCCTAACTTGATTCGCTGCTGAAAGCATAACGCAGCGAAATGAAGGGGCCTTGGCCAGCCAACACCGCTCTTTCAGGCCGTCCGAGTGCCAGCCTGTAAGCGCTTGGACCTGTCATACATAATCAAGTACATGTCCGGCATGTACTTGGCATTAGGCACCAATCTGCTGGTGCATCACTCGACATTCTCACCACCACCTGACTGCTTTTGGAAACAAAAAAGCAAAGACAAGCTTCCCCCCCATTGTGAGCTGGATCCCGATATCCGATACCAAAAGAGTCAACATCAACATCTGAGACCTTTATTTTACACCAGAAGAGCACGTACTATCTAGTCACTTTTACTGCGAGAGATCGTTGAGATTATATTTGTCTGTCACAAAATGGATCGATTCAGTAAAAACTTCGTTTACTGCTTCCAACGTGTAACAGCTCAAGTGCTTTTTGACCCTTATAAGACACGCTTGACCTGTTGATCGCCTACCTAAAACCGCAACCTTTTAATATCACCACTCTTGTGGTCTGAGACCAACGCGGTGATCTGCGCTCACGTTGCTACAATAGCAATTACAATAATACCGGCATTGGTTCATAGACTTCTCGAGTTCTTCATCATTGTTTCCAGGTAATGAATTTATCTCACACGCCGCCACTAGGAACTACATATGGTTCACTTGGCTACCAATGGTAATGCTACCATTGGCGACATTTATAGCCTTCCCAAGGATATTGATGACTTTTCCGTCCTAAAATAATCATTAGCATTGTAACGGCGATACTCCTCAGCGTATAAAGCACTAACATTTGATGAGGGTGTATCTGGTGGTATCATGGCTTTCCGAATTGCCGCCACCACAATAGCATAGCCGTCAGCATCCTTTGTCTCGAACTTGCAGATATCAATATGATCAGCGCGGATGGGTGCGGCATCGCCACATCCATGGATTTGAGCCGACTCAGTTTCGACGATCTAAACGCGCCAGTCTCAGTATCTGTCTGCTAGCTGGGACAAGTGCTCAAGTGAAGGTATTATACCTGAATCGACCCTATGCCCCATTTTGTCTTCAGAGTCTCATAAAAGAAAAATGCGTCGATACGGTAGTTGGTATCTTTCGAGGATCTGCGTTTATTAAGAATCTCCGGAAATGCTCTGGTGAGCTCGTCTAGCCGCTCGGAGTCAACACCAAGAAGCTTTAGAGTTTGCTGTTGAGTGTCGACCTTGAAAAGATTGAGAACTCTGCGGACGACCTCAGCAGGCTTCGCCACAGAGGATCCTCGGAACGGTGTTCCCAAAAATATCATCCCTCGAACGTTCCTAGCGATGGATGCTTCTGCCGAGTTCTCAGGTTTATGCTCCCCATGAACCAGAATCTGAGCAGCAACTAGCCCCCCGAGGCTATGAGCTACGAGGATGATTGGTCGGTCAACCTATTCCATCTCCAAGTGTCAGAATTTCCATGCGTGAATGTTAACCTCGTACTGCTTTGGAAGTTACTCACGGTTTGTGTGCTTAAGCGTTCTGCTGCCAGCTTCGCACACACGTCCTCGGCATCACCATGGATTTCAGTTTTGGAAACACCCGAGCGACCGGCACTAGTGATATTGGTGTCATAACCAAAGAGAAATATGCGAGATGCTGGAATGTCGTCGGGCAATAGATCTTTGGGCCAGATTACCCCATTCTTCGTCCACGCCTTTTCTCGATCTCCACGTAATCCATGCAAAAAGACAATGCTATAATTCTGCGTGAGCTAGGGAATGTGGCAGTAGCAAGCAAACTTACTCAACTTGCGCATTTTCCCCATTGTGTACTTCCAGCAGACCGTATTGAGCCATCACGGTATGCCAGCAGCCTGACGTTTTACTTTCGGTTTAGTCGATAGTCGACAGACGATATACAAGACCTTTCTTCAACAAATTATCCAAGAAAGATGTTTGACGTTCGCCCACGTAGATAGACCAGATTTTGAACATGGGTCTAGGCAGGACTCCCTTAGATTCCGAGCCATTACTTCGAGGACAGGTATTTTAGGTATGGGAGGCTTATTGGAGAGCCTGATCCTGGACACCGGGTGAAAACTTCCTCAGGTGATGCTTACTGCAGGTGGCTTGCAGCAAAACCCCGCTTGTGCGGCCACGGATTATCTACACGCAATGATATTGCGCAGACACGCAGATAGCTAAGGTGTCTTATTGAGCCCGCAAGGCGTCCGCATTGTTAGCGAGTAGACAGAAGGGAACACTACAGCTCCACTTGCTCATGTTGTAGCAGGTCTAATAATTGGGAATAAAAGTCTACATATCAACCGCACTAACGACAGTCTCCCGGTGGTTTTGTTCCAAGAGTTCTTTTTCTACTCTTTCGTCTGGGCCCAGGCTATCATGGACTGGCAGGTTGCCTCCCATCGCAAGGATGTATCAGGGGGGGTTGATCTTTGCCGCTTGGATCCAACCTCATGAGACTGGCTTTTCAGCTCCCCACAATAAACAAGTGCTAGGTAACAATCCCTTACATAGCTGATACCAAATTGTCCACAGTGGCGCAACTAACTAGCCAAGGCATTATGAAAGGCTGAAAATACCTTGGCGCTTGAGCTTAACTAGATATGGGATGATGACGCTCCTCTTTTGCTGCGACAAGTTTTGGCAATGTACTTATAAGCATTTATCCTGGGTTTTTCCACCATGCCCTGTAATTTCTAACTACATTATAACACGTTCCTTAAGCTTATCTACCACGGCATTTTAATTCTGCTATACTGAACAAATATTTACGAAATTTCCGGCAAATAGCGATAGCGCTGTAGTTGGACCCTTAATTACGACTTTACCAGAGTTTCAACAATTTGACATGGATCATATCGGCAAGCTTTTCAATCTAGAAGGTCACTCAATGCCAGAACGGTTTCAGGTACCGTTCGTTAACTTCAAACCACATTGCGAACCTCTGCCTGAGGCTGGAGTCGTGTACGGGTGTCAAGATCTCTTCGGTCTCACTCACTTGAGAGGAAGCGACCCAGATACCTTCTGCAAGGTTTTACAGTCCTGGTTTTACTTTGGTTTGTTGCGGGAGTTCTTCCCCATAGAATTTAACATTGATGATTTCAAGAAAGTCTCAGATGGACATCAGGTTGTATCTTCAGAGTGTCTTCTCCGTTATTGCTCTCTGTATTCCGGTGATCGGAAGCGCCATATACACCTTCACGATTGCTTAGAGTTTGTGAAAACATGGACCGATGAAATCGACCTGGACTGTCCGCTCGAATCCTCAAACAGCCTGCTCGGTCCCATTATAATACCTGACTCAATAGTCCACCAGAAGAGTCGGCTCATAATTGCGTCGATCAAAGTCCTTTTGGAAACTATGTTCGAATATCTGCGACTGTCTTGCTCTGATCGATGTACAGGCAAATCGAAAGCGCAGGATGTTCTGACTAGCAGGGTCAATAGGGTGCTGACAAACCTGTTCTATCCTGGGGATTCTCTTCAAGGCATTAATTATGATACCGTACCTTCAGCAACCGTATCTGGCGGCCAGAAAAGGCCGGTTTATGGGTCGGTTCCTGCATCCTTCTTCTTCGGCATACTTCTGAATAACGGATGGTGCCGCCGGCATTTGACGAGAATGAAGCACGAGTTGAATTCGACGTGCCTTTATATTCTCGCATCCCGCGATTCTGAGCTTGTCATAAGCCAGAAGGGAAATCACATGGAATGCTCGGCAAGTGTGTGTCAGCAGGATGAGAATGCCGGCGACACAGGCCCGAAGCATTCGTTTCACTGTTACGGTGGCTCTTTAAACATCAACTGCAAACCTGTACAAGTTGACACGAGAAAGCTTGAATCGATCTACGAAGACTCCAAATCTACCAGTATACCCATAGTCTCATTCGCAGATGGAGAAGCGACGATAGAGGAGAGCCGTGATCAGAAATACTTCGCGGTATCACATGTCTGGTCAGAGGGTCTGGGAAATGCAAGCTCGAACTCCATCCACAGTTGCCAACTGCAGGACCTAGCTGGACTTATCGAGCCTGGCCGGCGGGGAAACTCTAGCCAGGATTCCTGGGGTCCCATGAAGTTCTGGTTAGATACACTCTGTATCCCCAAAGCCTCCGGCCGTTCAAGTCCTGATCGGGAGGTGTTAGAGGCATCAGCCATAAAGAGTATCGATTGGGCCTTTGCTTCCGCTTATTGCGTACTTATTCGAGACCTGACGATACAAAATCCCAGCCTACCGTTTTCCAGTCTCGACCCTTTGCTCCAGATCATGCATTTGTACAATATGCGCTGGCTCAGCCGTTGTTGGACACTTGCAGAAGCAATATCCGCCTGGAAGATAAAGATCACCGTGGGTGGGAAAACTCAATCGCTCTTTGACCTGATCATCGATGTTGGATCGAGTTTCGCCCGAAGATATTCTCTAGCTAGTGAGCCCCAAAGCTCTACAGCGACTTCATTTAGGAACGAGCTTATGTCTAGTGTGTTCCGGAGTTTTGTCAGCCCATTCGATGTATTCATAGATTCTAAAGATGGGCACCAGGACATTATCGCTACATGGAATGCACTCCTTCAACGCTCCACCAAAAAGGCCAGCGATGTTCCCACTATTCTGGCAATAGCCAACGCCATAAGCCTCAAGAATGTGGTCGATTGCAAAGAGAAAACAATGGCTGTACAGATGAAACTTGTTCTCAATGCATTCCGCCGTCTCCCCGCTGCGTTCCTTTTCCAGGACGGCCCAAAGATTAATGAACCTCTTAATCGCTGGGTGCCTGCGGAACCACCA